GAGAGAGGGAGAATAGACAAAGGAGAGAGAAGAAGACAACAGCCCACTTCTACTTCGGATTCCTCCTCCTCCTCGCCACCTCATCAATCAATAGATTGAATACAATGTCTTCTTCTCTCTCCTTTGTCTATTCTCCCTCTCTCCTCCTTCGTCTGTGTATGATTCTCACCTCATTCTATCATCACACATATTACGATTGTTTGTCATTTCATCAGCAGATCGATAATCATAGGGACTGGTAATGTTGACGAGTATCATCACGTCTGGGCTCATTGCATTTATTGCAATAATGTGATGAGCCGACCAAACACGGACTGAGACGCACAGTTGATTTCTGAGTTTTGCTCACGGACTGAATGCCTTGCTGAGTTTCCCGCTTGCTACTAAGTTCTGCACGTCTGTGTGTGTGGGCACGCTTGCTGGTCTGCATGTCTGTCTGAGTGCTGGTTGGCTTGAGTGTGTGTGTGACCTGCAAGGGTACTTGTCCGTTCATTGGGCCCTCAGGGCCGGTACGTACCTGTGGCCGTGACATTGAGGATTGCAGGGGGGGGAAAACACTCAAGTAGCAGGTACCACATTCCGAAGAGGTAGATGTGCGGGTACTGGAGGCCGAGTAGAAGAAGACAAAAGTGGCATTTTCAGAGGCCCAGTAGTTGTAGGCTAGGTCTAGGCGGGTACCAGTCCAACTAGTCTGAGTCTAGGGCCTGTACGGCCAATATCAAAGTCTGCAATGATGATTCCCTCTGATAGGGAGGAGGTACTGGTTGTTGGGAAGGCCGAGCAGCCTGGAAGTCACCGCTCAAGAGGCAAGGAGTCTGCTATATCTCCAGGCCGGGCGAAGAGCCCAACCTCATTGTCGGTGTGCAAGTTTGATGACACACTGGTTGGAACGTTGGCTGGAGCAGCGCTAGCAGGAGCAGCACTGGTGGGGAAGGAGCAAGGACACAGAGGAGGAAGAAGAGCAGGAGGAAGGGGGAGCGCCAGAGGTACTTACCTGGCTATGGTGGCAGCCATCTTCATCACCTTGGTGGGCGCAACAGGGAGACCCCAACTGGGGAGAGCTACGCCAAGAAGCTTAGAGGCAGAGTAAGGCATGGCGGCCTGAGCTAGAGCAGCCATAGCTGCTTTGCGTTGTCCTTTGCACAACAGGGCAAGGCCCAAGTAGTCCGCCATAGACTCGGCCTATGAGAGTGAAGAGTGAGGGAGGCAGCCATGGCTATGGTGAACCTCAAGTGATACCTGCAGTAGAAGAGGAACTCGGACATGATTCTGGATCAGCCATTCAACATTGTACTATTATTTCTTGTATGAATAAGAAAGGAGGAGTAAAGGAGGAGGAGAGTGTTGGGCGAAGATGAAGAGCTTTGTCATTTGTCTATGCTGGTGTACATCATCTTCTTCGTCTTCTTCTTTCTTTCTCCTTCTTCTTCTTCTTATCCTCTCTCTCCTCTCAAGTTCATTCATTTCTTTCTGCAATTGGACGGCATTATACTATCTGATGAATGTGTACTTCAAAATTGGCCAGGATCATAACATCGGTATCAGAGCGGATTTTACTTGCTGGTGAGAGTTGACTTATCCATCCTAACCCTAACCTAAGTGGTAAGGGCTAACCACTTAGGTTTAGGGTTGGTCCGAAGTGGGAAGTGGGGCAGCGTGGCTTAGGGAAGCTGCCCCCACCTGGTTAGGTCATGCTGGGTCGGCATTGAACCTGACCAGGTTGTTTGAGAGTAAGAATGTGGTGGTGAGACACATCAAGAGGACTTCATGCGACAAGTTGAGAGAGGTGACAGCGAGAGGCACTCGCACCTGGAATCTGACCTAAGGGAGACACTTGGTGACTTGAGGGCTTCTCTCAAGAAGGTGATCTTGAGGGGAGTAGCCATTCTGCATCTACGGACTGCAAGTTACTATTTTGTTCTTCAGCATTGGCGGGGGATCCGGAGTTGCACATTGGTGTTGGAAGTGCGACCCTCCTACATGATAGGACACAAGTGAACTGCCATTTCGTCAAAATGGACATTTTTTATTTTTTGAACGAAATTGAAACTGAGTTTTTTGGCCGAAAAGTCATAAAAATTTGCTGTTCCTGAGGGTCCAACGTCAACGTTGGACCCTCAGGAACAGCAAATTTTTATGACTTTTCGGCCAAAAAACTCAGTTTCAATTTCGTTCAAAAAATAAAAAATGTCCATTTTGACGAAATGGTCGTTAGTGTAGAGGTAGCGATAGGGTTAGGAAAACCACATGAGGAAGGGGGGGGAGTTATACTTCATCTCAGAGTCCGGGCCACTCAGGTAAGTGCCATGCACCCAAGGGTTGCCCATGTATGTGTGCATGGTATTGTTTGTCCAGCTGGGGTCGTACTCCTCTGAAGTCTTGGTTGTGTGCATTGGCGTGCGAACTACTTACTAACCGGATGGATGTGGAAATGAGGTATCTTGCTTTGAAAGTCATATCTTTCTACAGTGCTTTATCTCTTCATCTGTGATTGGATGTAGTCTGTAGGTTCCGTCTTGAAGTTGAAATTCGTTTTTCAGTACGGTAGAGGCAGAAAGTAGGACCTCGACGTACTCTACTTGCTTGGGACTTGGTCACGACCTACTTGGGACACATTGGGACCCAGTGGGATCGGGCCCAAACAAGAAGGGCCCCTTGGACCCAAATCTGTTGACGCAGTGTCGCTCTCTGTTCTGTCTCGGATACGATATTCTTCTTCTTTGATTAGAGCCCTCGCTGCCGAGGGGATCTTGGTTGAGATGCTTTGTCAGACTGATGACACACAATCGAACGCTTGACCTGCACCTTATACACCACTCAAATCTCCATTGTTGTATGATGTTACTTGAAATCTGATTTGTTGTACTTTGACGGTGCCAGTTGGATTAGGCTCAAGGGGATCTTGTACTTGGTCTGACCAGACTTGAACGCGGAATCAGAACTCTCTTCTGAATATATTGTAATCTTTGATTTTGTTTCTATTGGTTGCTCTCTAGTCCAAATATTTGCCGCTCCGGCTAGGAGATTCTATCTTCTTCTTCTCCGTACTTTCAGTCTGTTTCTTTTGCTGAAGTCCACTACATGCCCGTTGAGACGCGCGGACAAGAGAAAAAGGGCAAGAGAAGTCATGGCAACTGAAGAAACTAGTGGTTCCAACATGGCACGAGCCAAACTTTCGGATATGTTGAAGGCCTGCATGGATGCAACGAATGAGAATGATAAACCGTTGTATGAGGCCCTCTATCAGAAAGAGTTGGCTGAGGAGGAGAAGGCGGAAGAGGCAAAGGGGAAAACAGTCGCTAATGAAATTGAGGCCATTTTTCAAACAATGCCGAATGTATCTGATGCAGACCTTAAGAAAGATCTGGTTGTGTATGTACGTGCTCTTGTTGATAACCACTTGCTCAGTGAACTTCCAAGTATGAAGTCCAGTTACTTGAGGAAATGAGTAAGATGCGTACTCAAATGGCAGACATGGCCAAAGAGCGCCGCGATCAGATCCAGCAAATTGTAGCCATGCATCAGACCCCACTCTCAAGTTCTCTTCGTTCTACCTTTGCACCCCTCCATTCCTCTCCTTTTCAGTCTTCTTCGATGAGTTTGGTGATTCAGTGAGGACCATCCGTCGTTAAGCCTAGTCAGGCAACGGGGTAATCCCCTCGCCACATTGCTCCCCCCTCTCCTAGCCTCCGTACTATCCCTGATTACCCCTCCCCTCCCGCCCCTTTTTTATTTCACAACCCACAGATTGATTGATTGAAACCCCCCGCCCTCGAGCACCTAAAATCTACGAGGACGTGATTGTTCCACCTATCCTCGGGGAAGAAATTTGGAAACAAAAAGTGAAAAAAATTCCTTGAGGATTCCTTGTAGCATCCTAGTGGCCCAGCCATTTGTTGCCCTTGTGCGAGGGACCTCACAAGGTCCCTCGGAGTCCGAGGATCCATAATAATCGGAGCGGCGAAGGCATGCGTCGTCGGCAAGTTCCTTTTTCTGGCTGGTCCATTGCTGTTTCGGCAACGGGTGCACGAACATCTTCGGGCGACGCCGGCACGCCTACGCCCAAAGGCTTGCCAACGGCCGCCGTTGGTGGACGAGGTACGAGGGGCCCATGTAGTAATTGCGGTTGATGTCGCCCGACAGACGGGGTTTCCCGCCAGTGTCGGCGGGATCCAACGGTCGGCGAGATTGAATATTTTGCCACACGCCGCCCGCATCCCAACCCATGTCGTCGACGGGTAACGACACAGTGCATCTGTCGTATGCTGTCCTCTTCCGTTTGCTTCCTTCCCCGTCGTCGTTTGGTGGACCTCCACCGTCGTCGACAAGTTGCGGCCATGTCGTGCGTGCCGTTGATGGTCGACCTCTATTGCAGGCTTCCTGTGCTTCTCCTAGTCATCGTCGTCCTGTTCCACGTGCTCATCCATTGTAAGGTGCCTGGGCGTACACACAGGAGGCGGTCAGCGAAGAAGGGTGTGGACATGGACGACCGGCAGCCGAAGAGCAGGGCGTTGTTCGACTCCCCCACCGCTCCCCACGCGCAACATAGTAGTGGTCGAAGGTCACAACAGTACGATCCGACTGCGTACGCGCACTTACCGTCGAACGAAATTCCGTTGCCGCCGATGGACGACGAGGCGGAGGAGAATGTTCTCGCAGAGTGGCACTCGGGAGCGACACAGGATTGGGCGCGGAGCCAGTTCTTTGGTAGTCGGCAAACAGCCTCTCGGCAGTCATACACACAACTGCTTGAAGAAGGTTTACGCGAGGAAGACGCATGTGCCAGCGTCAATCTATCGTTCAGACTATGTAGCGCGAGCTCAGCGGCGGCGACATGTACGCGCATCGTCGATCCCCACCCTGACGGCGATTGGGGTGATGCGCCGGTCGTCGACCGGTCGGGGGGGGGGGTCGTCCGCAGGATCGCTGACAGCAAACACGACGAGGGATCGACATTGTGTGCAGTTGAAGTCGACGCCTGCAACATGTCACGAAGTCATTCGTCCGCAATGGGTGCAATTGCCATCGCCGTTGTCGGGAGGTCTGGTGACGAGAAGGTGGTCGGGTGTGAGCGTTGTGGACGCCACATTTGCACAGGACGTTGATGAACGGATAGGTCGACACGTGTGGGCGGAACATCGCCAGAAACTCCGTGGAGATCTTGAAGACGCGATAACGTCGGGGGTTCGCTGCCTGCATGTCGGCAGAAGCGACGGAGACAAAGAGGCGGTTGTTGCGGTGGACGACTATGAAGACTTGGACGACGAAGACAAAGAAGACGAAGACGCTGATGTGGAGATTCGGCCTCTGGGCAAGAGGTCCATGGGTGGTCGTGGAACAAGCAAGAAGGCTTCTGCACCGCATGGACGACGGACCAAGAAGAGTGTATCTGCCGGGGAGCGATGGCGAGGGCGACGTCGACGTGGACGGTGGGAGGACCTTTTGGTCGGTGGACCACATGGTCGCTCTCGTGAGGGCAAAACGGGATCAGGATGCGCACCTGGAGGGCATGGGGTACGCATTTGCCTGCATGAAGCCAAGGGAATGGAAGTGGCAGGATGTTCACGAGAGACTAAAGAAGGTGGGCGTCGCAAGGAGTGTTGACAACTGCGGGAAGAAATGGGACAACTTGATGCAACAATTCAAGAAGGTGCACAGGTTCATGCAGGAGTCCGGGAAGCCGGACTAGTTCCAGTTGAAGGGCAAGGAAAGAAGATCACACGGATTCAACTTCGTCATGGAACGGGCCGTGTATGAGGAGATAAAGGGATCCACAGCGAAGAATTACACCATTCATCCGAGGAACGTCGCTGACACGGGTGCGTCGGGTGGTGTGGAAATGCCGTCCGGGTCGGGCGGGGGGGGGGGGGGGGGGGGGGGGGGGGTGGGGGGGGGGGGGGGGGGGGGGGGGGGAGGAGGCGATGGCGATTGCGCGGGCGACGGAGGTGGCGAGGTGCAGGAAGAAGACGACGGGTCGACGAAAGGTTCTTCGTTTAGTGCAGGTAGCACTCACGGGCTGGCGAAAAGGAAGGACCTGAGGCAGCAGACGTTCGAGGCACTCACAGACGTCATGGAGAGGCACGAGACACTAATGGCGACGACCATCGAGAGTGCGAGCAAAAGGCAGTGCTCGATGATGATGCGGCAGTGCGAGATCATGGAGTCCGAAGTGGACGCCCAAAAGAAACACTGGGCGGCGTCCGATGATGTGAGCAAGCTCGTGTGCCAGGCCCTCATGGAAATAGTGAGGGCTATCCGGGAGAGATGGCACTCTCGCGCGTGCATGCACGAGCGGATGCCTTTACCCTCCTCACCATCATTCTAAGATGACGTCATCATTGCGACTCCTTGCCAATAACGTCCACCAGACCGATGGCCTCCAATGTCGCCCTGCCTTTATCTATGCACGTTTGTCGTCTTGAAGTCGTTCTGGTTCGCACACAGAGTCGAAGAAGTCCACTTAGTGGAAGCGGACCTGGGGATGACACAGGAAGGACAAACATCAATGCAGCTAACCTCTAAGCTAACTTCCCTGTCAGAACCGGACGACCTGCAGAAGAGGTTGGGATCTCTGGCAGCTCAGCAGAGCCTGCCGCTGACTTTGCCAACGCAGGAGCGAACAATCACACAGCAAACGGACTCAAAACAGGCCCCCCACCACACAGATGATCTACAGCCCGCAGACGGGACTCACATCTCATTACATGGACTGCCTCTGTCCCAGCCGCCCCCCAAGCCGACCATGCCTGGGGACACGACCAGACAACAACCAGTGCTCCCCCCGGTGCTGAGGATCCCCACACAAATACAGGGGGTCTCACCAGCACTAGCCTGAAAAAACAGGCCAGGAAGCACAAACTCAAACTCGTAGACTATGGCCAGGGCATGGAAGGGCAGGTGTTGCCTGGGCTGTCGCAACTGGACGAGACTGGGACAAAGCCTGGTCCTCGGGGCACGCAAGATCAACAGGGGACCGATGAAGGGCGTCACAATCCCCAACCCACAGAGCAATCGAATCCACAGCAGGTGCAGCAAGTCATTACCCAGGGGCAGTGCCCCTCCTCGGTTGAGGCCTCTCCACTGCCGCTAGATTATCAAGGGGATGTCATGCTACAGAACAATGAGGACCCCTACCGAGGTCTCCCTCATCCCCTGTGCACACAAGGGGCACACACACAGCAGCAAAGCCAACTGCAGGAGACGACTGAAACTCAGGTGTATGTCGAGGCCCAAGCTCACGCGCTTCATAATGTATGGGTGCACGACGACCAACCTCACAACCGGCTGTGTCCTCAGGCTCAGGCACGGGACAACGCCCAAAAGATAGCAGAAGAACGGGCCCATGTGCAGGGCCTCGAGGCATCAGTATACGCCTGGGTGCAAGCCCAGGCCCAACAGATAGCACAACAGAGAGCCCAGGCACAAGCCCAGGTGCAGGCGCAGGCCCAGTGGCTCGCTATGGAACATGCCAAGATGCAAGCAAGCCCAGTCCTACCTCCACTCCCAAAATCTGGAGGCCCTCCGAATGGAGCAACAGATTCAGTGCCAAATCCACACCCAACTGCAGCAACTCATGGCGGTTGAAGAGGATCACCCCTTGCCTCTCGACCACCAAGGGGATGTCATCCTGCACACGGAGGATACTGAAACATAACACCATAGCCATGAGCTGGAACTGTTGGAGGAAGATGACAACCAAGGAGATCTCGGCGTTGCTCAGGACGACAATGCACCCCCTACTGACTCTCACGACACAATACAGATCCCCACAGAAGGGCTGGGATCAACCTCACAAGAACGACAACCGTCGAAGCCGGAGTCAGCCAGAGATGCCAAACACAAAACACAAAGAAAACAGAGGCCAACCATCTCTCACACACGGGTGAGGTCCCAACTCAAGGAGCTGGTCAACTGGGTGCTTCTCAAAATGTTGTCTCCACAGTCCGTCTCCCTACACGACCGCATCTCTCCAACACACTGCGAGAAGATCAGGAGATTTATCATCCAAAATCGCCTCCTGACAAGCACAATCAACACATTCACCTCTCCAGATGATGTGGACTGGAAGATGGTGGCCCGGACAATAATCCAGATCACTCAACCGCTGATTGACAAACTCTGGTTGGTGCAGCGCCCAAATACAGGATCACAGGATCTAGTCGCCCTACAGGCTCAAAAGACTACACGGACTGTTTGGGTAGAAGATCAGCAATGGCCAGAGGTCCTCATCCAAGAAATGGCAGCGGTGCTGCAGAACGATCAAAGCCAAAAGGCATTGGTCGAAGTACCACAGTCTTGGGAGGAGGGTATCCCGCCCCACTTCCTCCGACCAGTACTGTGTATAGCCCCTCTGCAGGCCCATTGTAGCACCGATCTGGCAATCAATCTCATATCCGACCCAGAGATTGACTCCAACGTGGACTCCACCCCCCGCTACTTATTATCTGCATCATCAGCATTGCCTCAGACGGAGTCTTCTGAATCGGAGGCGACAGACACGGAGACAGACATCGAGCCAGAACCAGTACAGCAGCAGCAAAGGGCTGACCAACTAAAGACCAAAGTGGCCATCAATGTGACCGACCATCAAAGTTGTGGCCTCCCCACCCCTTCTTCGTCAGAGATGCAGTTGTTTACGAAACCAGCCACCAGAGGAAAATTAAGAGATCTGATCAGACCCTCCTCGTTGTTGGCAGCACGCAGTTACGACCCCCTGCAGGGGCTGCTCGTCCTGCCGCTTAGCAGGGAATCCGGTAGCCACAGCTGGCAGCTGGGCCTGTGGACGAAGGGATACTTGGCAGACTTCAGTGGGCCCAATACGAAATCGAAAAGTGAATATGTGGTGCTCACAGTGGAAGAATGGAAAGGGCAATATGCCAAGCACAAGGCTCTCAAAATGGTGGCTGCGCTGCTCAAAGAAAACCAAGACATCGGAGCTCAAGGGGCGGCTTTCCGCCAGGACCACCCCTTTCCGAAAGGCATAACCGTAGCCACAACCGCCTTCGATTACGACTGGTCCAGGAAGGCCGACTCTGTGTTGCTGTGGTTCACGGAAGAACAGCTAGGGGATGTGTCCACAACCAGGCTCAGATCCAACTCGGCATGGAAGTTACCACAGATCCATATTTTCCTCCAGGCGATCTTGGAAAATGGACTGTTGGAAACCTCGAATAATTGGGATGACCCCCCTTTCCTCAACCATCTGTGAAGCCCCGACCAGCATAACCACGAAATGAAGTAAACAATTGACCACCAAACAAAGGGCATCAGGGATCACAATCACCCACAAATGCCGCCGATGACACCCCTCCTCCCGCTCGTGCCCCTCTCGCATGCTGGCCAACAGTTCCCCCCGCCCCAACCCCCAGTCCCACCACCTCCCCCACCGTTTGTCCCGCCGCCCCTCAAACAACCCCGTGCCTGGACCAAGAAGTTGGCCCACGTAGACCTACACATACGCTCCCTAAATGTCCACACCCAATGCTCAGAAAACAACAGCCATCTGGAACGAGATCAGACATCCGGGCACCACGGACTGGCCGGATGCCATGTGCGTCCAGGAGACTCATCTGTCGAACACTCCGTCCCATGCTGCTAAACACTGAGCACTCTGGCCACACTTAGCATGTACGGCCCCAGCCACAGAAAGAGCCTCCTCAGGAGTTGCCATTTGGATACCCTCATCCTCCTGCTTGGTACCGATTCAAGCAGATTACGACAAATTGGAAGGAAGATGGGTATACCTCAAAGCGACCTTGGGAGAAGAGACAGTCTGTATAGCAAGCATATATGGGCCAAATGACCCATTGCAGCGGGTCAAATTTTTTACCACCTTTCACGAAGTGTTGCCAACAGACTGTCCGACCATTCTGGCAGGGGACTTTAATACTACTCCGGACCCGGGGATGGACTGTAGATCCACTTCCCAACCCACAGGGGGAGAGCCGACCCCAGACACACTGTCCTTGGCTCACTTTATTGCACAAAGACAACTATGCGACATCTTTTGGCTCCTTCATCCCACCAGGAGGGCATACACCTGCCTACGGTCGAGAGGAGAGGCGGGCCTCTCCAACCGTCGCATAGATTTTTTCTCAATTCCTCAAACATTCGCCAACCTCGTCATGGTGGCTGAGATCCAGCCCATAAGCCCATGCCGGTCCTTTGACCACAGGGGCATTGCCCTTGGCATCTCCCTTCATCGGCACCTGACTCGGGGCCCGAGCTTCTATAAACTCAACACATCCCTCCTCAAGCTCCCGTCACTTGATTCCCTGGTCAAAGAGTACTGGCACTATTGGGACACACAAAAGGAAGCACACGACTCGCTGGTGGACTGGTTTAATGCAGGTATCGTCAACCTGAGG